GTGTGTGTGTGTGTTTGCTCTGTCTTTTGATCTCCTCCAGACAAAGAGAGCAGTGTTCACTCTCTCTGCTATGACCTCCAGAATACGGCGGAACTGGGTGAAGTTACTAAAGCAGGCCATCCAGAACAACACGCAGTGAGTCTGACTTTATTCTGGGAGACGGTGGTGCAGAAAGTATTCAGATCCTTTACTTGAGTAAAAGAACTAACATGTACGGAAAATGTACCTAAAGTATACAAATTAAAAGTATTCAGTGCACATAAATGGCCGTTGTGAGTGTTATATCATAAATTATTTGATTATTTTTGCCTTAATATGTTAGCATAAGTTCACTTTTGTAGTCGGTTGAGTTGAAACTAATTTTAAGAATATTATATAAAGATGGGTAGTTTAATAACATTATATAGCATTATATTTTAAAAGTTCACCATATGTTTTGCATTTAAAATCTTAAAAAACTAAACTAAAGCTGTCGAATAAATGTAGCAGAGTAAAAAGTACAATATTCCTCTGTTATTATATGGAGTCCAAGTATAAACTAATACTGAAGTATACAGTATGAGTACCTACAATTTGCACTTAAGTACAGTACTTGTGCTTAGATACAGTTAGCTACTGCTGGGAGACTGTATACTACAATCATAAATAACATATTAAAAACAACATTTCAATGAAGCCAAGCCTATAAAATGACCTGTTCAGTTTGTTTCCTAGGGGGGGGAATTTGAAGCTGGTTTGCAAACCTGAAAATATAAAATAATGACAAATTACACACACACAAAAAAAAGTCCTTTGAATAGCTATTCTGGAGCTTTTGATCACAAAAAACGGTTACTTGGCTACTGTCATTACTTGATTTGTCATAAAATATGGTAAATTAATCATAATTAGTAATGTACAAATTACAATGTTAATAACAATGTTATTCCAGAAAAATATGCAACAAAACTGGCATTCCATAGACCTGAAAATTCCTGAGTACTGTGAAGAAATGCAGACCAGGTGATTGGGAGGTCTGTCTGTAGTGAACCACCTCTATCATCTTTCCTCTGATGTGTAACACTACCCTCCTGCTTTTCCCTCATTCTAACCTCAGCCAATCAGACACTGGCAGCGAGAAAGAGAACCCCCTCTCCCGGAGACCGTCGTCATGCCAACCCCCTGCTCGGTTCACCTGCGGGAACTCCGGCTATGAACATACCACTTCCATCTCCACCACCACAGCTGCAAACTCCCATCGGGCCGACCACCACCAACAAACTGTGGACGGTGATCTGGACGTAGACCTATTTCCGGCCAGTCAGAGAGAGGAAGGGGAGGGCTGGGACCGCGAGCAAGCGAAGCGATTGGAGGAGAGGAACAAGTGGTTTGAGGAAGGGGTCCCCTTCAGTGAGATGGGCAGCAGGTGGGACTCCATGGAGCTAAAAAGGGGGAGTGTGCCTGTGCCTGTTATTGAGACCATGGACTCAGAGGTCAACATGAAGTGGACAGAATTCGAGACAATGTCATTTAGGGACATGAGCGCGCAGTCTCTCATTGGAGCGCAGGCTTATCAGTCAAGCACCCCACAGGCATTGCAGTCTCTCGATGTCTCCCAGACATATCAATCGAGCCCCGAAGAGGCCGAACAGCCTGTCACTGTATCACAAACTGATATATCAAACTCAAAGGGGGCTCTTCCGTCCATAAATGGAGCCCAAACCGTTCAAACAAATACAGCTGAAGCTCTTCAAAAGGAGGTAAGAAAGAACTTACAGTCACTCCACGAGTAGAAACACTAGTATGATGTTCAAAGTGTTTTCAATGCAAGGAAATTATGTGAATATCCAGAAGTGATGTACATCTCCCCTTTCCTCCCTCCAAACATTCTCTATAAATCTCACAGGCCCTCTCTCTTCGGAAGGAAGTGGAGAGCATTAAGAGGGAGCGTGCAGCCATGGGGATTGAGGTGGACAGCCCGTGCGGCCCCGGGGCCCCCTGTAGGGCCAAATTAGAAGCCATGGAAGTGGCCCATCGGAAAGCACTGCAGGAGCTGCAGCAGAAACATGCGAGGGAGATCAGGCAGATGGATGAACAGAAAGACAGGATGCTGCAGGAGGAGAGCCAGGCAGCTGCTAAAGGTAACGGCAGGAAGTATAGTCAGGCAACTGTGGCCCAGGAGGGACAATCTTGCAACAAGCAACATGTATTTTTTTTATTATTTTATGATTTAAACTACATTTATGTCTTTTAAAATCATGTCTTGTGTTGTTTTTAACGCTATGACAGTTTAAATAACTAATTACCTAACTGTTTATCAAAGCAATGGAGACACTGAGAGCAGCTCACAGAGAGGAGCTGGAGAGAGAGCTGGATAAGGCCAGGAGGTTGGCTGGCGGAGCTGCACACGTGGATACTTCCTACAGAGGCCACATGTAAGTATATCACAGTCAGTCTTTTATGGTACTGAGAGTGTTCTTCGTCTCACAGGCTCTCGCTGCAGGCTTAAGTTCTACACTTGACCACGACCCCTTGCATGATGGTGCATTATAATTTACTCCATAACTGGTGTGTTTGTGCGTGTCAGGCCCCAGGCGGACGTCTTGCACAGTGAGTTAGATGTGCTGTCAGAGCGCTACTCCCAGACGTGCCTGCAGCTGAGCCGCACCGAGCAGAGCAGCAGGGGCCGAGAGACTGAGCTCGGTCGCAAGGAGAGAGAGCTGGAGCAGCTCAGACGAGAGAACCAGGTTTATACCACCTTATAGATGGTTAAAATAATTGCAATCATATTCTGTTTTTTTGTTTATTCTTGTAGCGTTCAAGTAATAAGGAAACATGATAAGCTACAAACATACCATAATTTGAGCTAAAAATCTCTTTACAGGAGCTTAAAGCCAAGCTAGCGGAAGAGATCAGCCGCATGCGCTATTTCATCACAGGGCAGAGGTCAGATATCTCGGCATCTCCTGGCAACACTGAGCGCTCTGCGTCAGAAGTAGAGGTATTGATAGTAATAAGTTCAATGTTTGTGACTAAATTAGATCCTACGCAATCTCAACTCATGTGAAAGTAGGTGATACTAAAACATCTTAACCTCTTGCTGCATCCCAACCCAGTTTCGTTTATTGCTCCTGAAATATTAACTTGGGCTTGAAGGACAAATGTTGACAGCACTGTCGTCATGGGGAAGCAGAAAGCAACATTAGACGTACGTGCTATGGGAGTTTGAACTCACTTTAATGAAACAATTTGATTAAAGCATTTTAACCATTTTTTTCTTGTATCCCCAGTAATAGCTCCCTGTTGCAACATTGTCATCCCTTCCTTTTTTTTTCCTGGTGGCCTCATTAGTGTTGAGCATCTGTGGTTGGTCACATTATAGTGCAGCACATACTGCCATCTAGTGCCTGAATCACAGTACAGTCCTATGGTTGTACTTCCTGAAATCCAACTGCAGTGGTGGAAGAAGTATTGAGATCTTTTGCTTAACTAAAAGTATTAAATCATCCGTATAAAAATACGTTTTATTATTGGATTATTGTTACTGATGCATTAATGTGTAAAGAAGCATTTTACTCTTGTAGTTGGAGCTAATTTTAATTAATTGTATGCTGTTAGGTAGTTAATTTTCAACAACACATCATATTTTACAAGATTATATATTTTGCACAAAAAAATTAATGAATCAGCAAAGTAACTATACAGGAGCTGTCAAATAAATGTAGTGGCGTAAAGTATAAAGGTAAAAAGGAAGTGCTCAAATACAAGTACCTTAAAATATTCTTAGATATTTTCTGCCAGAGGTGGGAAGTAACAAATACTTTGTTACTGTACTTAAGCAGTTTTTTCAGGAATCTGCACTTCACTCAAATATTTATTTTCCTGTTTTTACTTTTACTCCATTTTACACAAATATCTGTACTTTGTACTCCTTCCACTTTAAAAACAAGCTTGTTACTTTATTTTTAATGCATCTGGGAGGAATTATTATGTTTTTGCATTGTTATATGGCTTCCAAATATCAAGGCCGGATGACAGACGTACCAAGACAAACATGACATGAACGACCCCTTTTAAAGTTTTAGTCAGCTTGTATAGAAACAACTAGTAGAAATGTCCTTCAGAGAAAACAAGAGTACTTTTTACTTTTATACTTTGAGTACCTTTCAGAGTCTGTACTTTTTCTATTTTACTTGAGTAAAGAAGTTGAATTACTACCTCTGTACTTGAACTTAAAGAATGTGTGTACTTTTGCCACCTTTGCTCTCCACCGCTGTAAGATTTAGTAATATTTAGATTTAACATTTTGTTTTTCAGACATTACTAAGGGCAAAAGACAATGAGGTGCAGTATCTTAAAAAAGAAATCAGCTGTCTACAGAATGAAGTGCAGTCTCTTACCAAGGTATGTCTTGTGATCTGACCTCTTGCATTACACCATCTATCAGAAGTAACACACTCAGATATGTTGTATTTACAACTTTGATTTAAACATTTCTCCCTGCTTGTCTTTGATGTGTCTTCCATATTTGTTCCAACCTTTGCTCTAGGAGAAAGCAGCAGCGTATGAGCGTTATAAGGAAGCTTATGTAGAGCTGAGTGACATGAAGGGTCGCAGCCAGTTGGAGATGGGGTCCCTCAACGAACACTTGAGACTGGCCAACGCTGCGCTTCAGGAGGGAGCGAGGCAGACCTGACCAATGAGGACGACTTACCTTGGAGAACAAAGACAGCAAGCCAATAGAAAATCTTTATAAATTATAACAACATTATTATATGTGTTGACTTAGAAGAGTCAGAATAAGAATTATAGAAACTATTGTGGACTCGGAGACCACCATGCAAAGACTTTTAAGATTAAATAACAACAAGTGTTTATCCACGTGTAATCAACTCTGTTTATTGAGTGACAAACACAAACATGCAAACAAGAGTGAAGGCGTAACGTGTAGTTTTGATAGCCTCACATGATATGAAATGACTAAAACAACATAAATAGCAGAGGAGAGAGGAAGGAGATGGGTGGAGGTAAAGGGATGTATATGGAAGTCATAGTGCCCCATCTTCCTCATCTTCCTCGTGCTGGCTGATATGCACCCTGTGGATGTAAATAAAAACAACGCTCATCAGTTTTCTACTGTTACCAGCTGTCATCATTACAAACGAGCCACAAACTACACCCTTTAAAAATATAGCAGACACGCCCTTCACACATGGATAAGATTGTGCATTAGTTCAAAGGTCAAACAAGGCGTGGCTAATGTACACTTTACCATTTATTGTCTGAAGTTAGCTTAATCGTCGTCATCATCATCCTCAGGGACGAAGATGTCATGCTCCTCCAAGAGAGCGGCAAAGTTCTTGCTGATCAGCGTTCCCACATACAGGAAAGGCACCACCACTACTGTCATGCGGATGAGACCGAATGGCGTCTGGAAAGGATAAGGAAATTACATGAAAATGAGGAGTTTAAGGAACACGTGAACTGTTCGGATTACTCACAGTATTATTCCCCATCTCTGTTTGCTCTAGAATATATGTGATTATAAGGGCAACTGTTTGTCCAGAAGCTAAACACAAAAATATAATCCCGTCTCTGGCAGCTGCAACACAGATCCAGAAGACATAGACACTGGCTGTAAAGCACTGTACCTACATACATTTACATTAAAGACTGGTAATATCTACAATGATATGATTTTTATTTAAAAAAACCTTTGAATTAAAGCACATTAACTGACTTTATGATGGGCTTTACTACCCAAGCCCCTCATTATCTCCATGCACATTCCTACATTAATTAATTAAATTACCTACAGCAAATTGTGGACCAGGTAGTATTCTAACATGAGAGATATAAAAGACAGTGGGGTTAATATAGTTTAATGTGCTGGGGCCCCACAGCAGGTTCCTCCAGTGGAGCGATTCTTAAAATTGTTTTGGACAACATATTTCTTTCAATTTGGCCCTTGGCTGTGGCCTTAAGAGGGATTTTTCTGTTTTGTCCCAGATATATTGAATTGTTTGAGAAAAGGTAAATTAGACCTGACCCATAGGCTACATTAAAAACACACTTTCACTAAACCTTTCAGATATTAGGGGGACTTCAGCTAACTGTGTATGTGATGTTCAGTTGTAAGTTAATTTCATCGCATTGGACATTATTACAGTTCCCAAATAAAGACATAGATTACTGTTATATAAACATATATCCTTCATTTTCCTCCTCGACAACAATGCACAGCAACCTATGTAGTGTTTAGGTCATCTATAACGCGCCAAACACAACAATTCATCAGAGGCAATTCTTCTAATTACACGTTATTTAAATTTACTTACTTAAAAATGTCTACTTGAATCAACAACAACCTGAATTGTCAAAATCAGGGGGAAGTTACTTCCTGAAAGTACCAAGCAGCTTCGTGTAAACATACGTTCATTGGCTGACTTGACTGCTGGCAGCGGGTTTCCTGCATTTCTATTGGCCACCGCTGGTGTCAATTACAGCGTTAAGTCCCGCCCACCATGTCACTCATATTTCTGGTCGGTTTTCACTCGGTAACCAAGGCAGCACAAAACTCACTTTGTCCGGTTTCGGTAAGATTGCCCCCGACGCCGATGATACTGCGGTCCTGCTTTGAGTCGCCCTGGATATGTTTGCTGTTTTAGAGCCGGTGTTACGGCTCACTATCCCCATGTTTTTGGTGGAAAGTCGCAGTGGGAGCCGCAGTATACTCGTCGCCATTTCTTCCAGTATATGTGATAGACGGGGTGTGACGTCACTCTGGGTGGGACCGGAATTCCTTTTATGGGCGTGTCTTGACTTTAGTTTAAAAAAACACCAACAGTTATATATAATTTAATGTGATGCATCAGTTGCATTAATCAGTTATGGACTGAGAAAATAAACTCTGTCTCTGTATAAAAACAAGATATTTGTGACTTAAACAAGTCTGTACACTGCTATGTATTTTATTTCATGTTCAAAAGAATGATAAAAGAAAATGCTTTTAAAACTTCTACAACAAATAGGTACAAAACAATCACAGTGAAATATTCAGATTAAATTAAAAGAAAATGTTTGTTTGGCCTTCTTACGTTAAATTAAAGTGCTATATTGTCAGGCCATTTAGATTTCTGTATGATAAATTTTCCCAGAATGATCAGCAACATAGTTTGGTACCCTGGATTTAATTAATTAAATTAAATTAAACAATAAAAACTATGTAAAACTAAATAAATATGTGGGGGAAACATTACCAATACTGTTGGGATTTTTACACATCCCCATGTATCATTGAAGGCGCTCAAATACAAATACAAACATATATTTATTTATTTATTTTATTTATTTTATCTGCTAACATTTTGATCGTGAAGTGAAACGTCAGCAAACCGAGCAGGGCGCGAGGCCACCTACTGCAGCACTTCCTCGAGGCGGAGGCACGGGACGAGAGCGCGCACCGCGGGGACGACGGCGCGCACCGCGGGGACGCGCACGGAGCGGAAGACGGAAGAAACGGACGTTGAATAAAACTCACCAACTTCAACCGAGTGGCTGAAATACAGTTAGATAAAACGTTACGGACGAACTGTTGACTGATCCCGGAACAGTTTTATGTCGCTAAACAAACTCCCCGTCTACAGTCAGTCTACAGTCAGTCTCCTCTCCAGCGGGTTTCAAACAGACGTTGCACTTTGCTCAGCCGACCCGAGATCATCCACCGCTACAAAGTCACATCTAGCTGTTGTTGAAGCGGAGAGAGGAGCGGTACACACACACACACACACACA